CACCAATGTGGACATTCGTATCAGTGGTTAATGATGCATTGTTTTTTTTATGTCACTCAGTAATTTCCTAGACATAACAATGGGAACCCAAAGACCGGTCTTGTCTTGAAGGGAAGCCAGCTCCTAATAATATTGCCTTATTAATTTAACACATGAGAGTATTTGTTCCTGCTGTTGCTACAGCAACATGTGTTGGGGGCTATCTTTCCCGAAACAAGTGAAAAAAATGAAAAAGAAAACAAATGCTTTCCATATACTTGCATGAATAACAATAGAAATGTATGTGTGTTAAGACGTCTGTGATTAGAGGCAGGTACCTCTTGCCCTCTGGAGTCCTGGTGTGACTCTCTGGGTTAATGCGCTGGACTGCAAGGTCAGTTTGAACCGCAAGACCAATGGTTCAAGCTCACCAGTTGCTTCTTGGAAACCCTATACAGGGTCATTATAAGTCAGAACTGACTCGATGGCACTTAACAACAATAACAACCTCTTGCTCTCAGTCTAAATTAAGCTGTATTTGTTAGTTAATTTATAAAACACTCAGCCAATGAAAACAAGCCAGCACTTCCAAGGAATTCCAGAAATATTGAAAACATACAAGATTATTAATCATTAGGTGATCTGTGGATGATAACAGCTCTCACCATGTATTCAGATGCAACAAGCATGTAAATGAGCCCGCTGAACTCTGAAAACAACGAAAAGATCATTTTTTTTGCCTCAGGGTGAAATTGATGCTCATCTTCTCTGACATTCACCTTTCAATGGGATTTAAGAGCAAGGTGACTGCATTCTAGGTTTAGAAAGAGTCAGCACCTCACTATCTCAGCATGAGCCTTCTCAGCATGAGGAAAAGTTTGAAAGGAGGTGACCGATGCTTCATAAGCTAGAAATGAATTTATATGAATGGCCATGAATAATAAAGATACAGCATAATAAGGTATAAAGAGAAGATTTTGGAGTCAAACAGCTCTTTGTTCCAAGCCAGGTCACGCCCAGTGACCTTGAGCTAGCTTCTAATCGCTCTGAACATTAATGTCCTCAGTTTATAAAAGGAGATAATTGTATCTGGTGTGGCACTGTGGACTAAAAGCGCGGCAGACTGCGAAGTCGTTTGAACTGCAAGGTTGGTGGTTCAAGCTTACCAGCTGCTCCTTGGAAACCCTATACAGGGTCACTATGGGTCAGAACCGACTCGACGGCACATAACAACAACAACAATAGTGCAACAGGGGTTGCTGTGAGGATTAAATCAGAAATAAGTAAAGTACATAGTACACGTCAGAACACATAGCAAGCACTCAATAAATTGCAGCTCTTCTCCTGGTGTGGCGCTGTAGGATATGCACTGGACTGCTAACAGCATGCTCGGCAGTTCAAACCCACCAGCTGCTTCTAAAAGAAACCCTATACAAGGTTGCTATGAGTCAGAAATGTGTCAACAACAGGTTACCAACAACAACAGTTTATTAATAGCATCATTATCACCAGTGCTGAGCACTAAATAGCTTAGGCTCTCCTCCCTTCAGCACATGTTAAATTGCATCTCTCAATTGCCATTTGCAGTCCTTGTTTGGCACTGTGGGATAAAGCACTGAACTGAAAAGTTGGTTTGAACCTCAAGGTCAATGGTTCAAGCTCACCAGCCGATCCTTAGAGTACAGGGTCGCTGTGAGTTGGAACCAACTTGACAGCAGTTAACAACAACAACATTGCCATTTAATGGAGAAGATTATTAAAAGTACCATGGAATGCCAAAAGAGCAAACAAATCTATATTGGAAGAGTATAGCCAGGATACTCCTTAGAAGCCAGGATTGCCAGACCTTGTCTCTCGTATTTCAGATATATTATCAGGAAGGACCAGTCTCTAGAGAAGGACATCATGTCAACAAAAAAGAGGAAAACCCTGCCAACCAGATGGCTGGGCACAGTGGTAGCAGCAATTACTTCAAGCGGAACAATTGGTGGCATGGTGCAGGCCGGAGCAGTGTTTCCTTCTGTTGTGCATGGGGTCGCTATGAATCGGAACCAACTCGATGGCACCTAAGAACAACAACCTTGCTATTTAAGGAACCCTGGTGGCACAGTGGTTAAGCACTTGACTGCCAACAGAGAGGTCAGAAGTTTGAACCCAACAGCTGCTCCAGGAGAAAAAGATGTTGCAGTCTGCTTCCTGTAAAGCTTTAGACTTGGAAACTCTACAGGACAGTTGTATTCTGTCCTATAGAGTCACTATGAATTGAAATTGACTTGATGACAATGGATATGGTTTGCCTTGTTGCCCTTTGATCAGTGGTAAACATCCCCCCATTCTTGTGTGCGGCTGTCACCTGTCAGTGGAGGTTTTTGTTTTGTTCTGTGGCTGAGTAGGTTTCAGGGGAGCTTCCAGACGAAGACAGTCTTAAGAAAGTTGTGGTTTCAAAAATTGGCCAGAAAACAACCCTAGGGGCCACAGTCACCTGATCTACATCTGATCTTGGGCATGGTTCAGGACCATCAGCCTTTTTCACAACGTGGATGAAGTTGCTATGAGTCCAGGCCAACTCATGAGCAGCCAGATAATCCTAACTGGCCCTAGGAAGTTACGTGTGGCCATGTGATTTGCTCTGGCCAATCAAATGTGGATGAAGTACCTGCCAGGGAATGTTAAGAACCCTTTATCTTCGTGAGAGCCAGTGTTTCAGATAAAGGCTTCTCCCTCAGTGTTGGTCCTAGAGCAAACCCAGCCAACCAGAGATAGAGAGTAGCAACAAGCACCAAGTCAATCTTGTTTTGAGATTATGGCTGCCAAAATTACCCTAGGTGACCTATGTTGACTTGGTGGTACCTAACAAAGGTTACTCTGACCATGCTTTGCTTTATCACTAAAGGAATGGATTGTACAATCCTAGACTTTTGTCATCTTGAGCCAACTATAAATTATGCCCGAATCTTAAGAATAACGTCTATCCTTTCCTGTTGACAAATGTTTTGTGAGAACTCATTCAGTCTTCATGTTCCCATTGACTTAGAATTTCCTTGGACAGAAGAATTGCTGCAATTGCAATTTCATAACTCTTGCAAGACCACTGTCCCTAAATTATTGAGCGCTCCACACATCACCAAAATAGGACTACATTATCATTCAAACATGCTTAGCATTGCAAAATGTAAGTGTTTCTCTAGAGACACATCTGTCAATCATACTGAACTGCTTGTTGGTTTGGAGATGTAGAAAAATAAGTTACCAAGAGCTATTTTGACATGGGCAAACTCATTTCATTTCTGACTTAATCTCAAACTGGATTCTGCAATCCCAAGGTACAAGGCTCATCTTTTCTCACTCTCTCCACATTTCTCAATGTTATCATTTAGGGGTTAGCATGAGTTCAATCTTCTATAATAGGCTGTTTCAGTTTAAGTGTATGTTAAACTAATATTGACCTTTGCAAAGTAAAATGAAATCTGGTATTTGTGCTCAAAAGACTGAAACTGCCAAAGATGTGGAAAGGAGAGTATTAATCATCCTAGTTTTTTTGTTTTTTTCCTTTCTTGCTGAGAAATTCTCTCAGAATTAGTCATTTTATATATCTAGCAGTGACTGGGGTTGATTATCCAATAAGTAAGGTGAGCACTCGTTTATTTGTGCTTACTTATTAATCTGTAGTGAACAATTTCACCACATTTTTTAGTTAGAGTTGATTCCTGGTTCCTAACAGAGAAGGCAGTGTCAAAGCAAAGAAGAAATGTGCCACCACCAGTGAAGATACAAATAGGCACAAATTTGTACGTTTCTATGAATACATCATTGACAGAGATCCATGTCCTCAAATTAACCCCTTGGTACATGCTAGACAAATCAATTATTCTGTGGTCTGCCTTATTCATTGTCCAACTTTCACATGCATATTAACAATGGAAAATACCAGGATTTGGGTCAAGCAAATCTTATCCTTAAACTGATATCTTTGCTTTTGAAAACTTTAAAGCATCGATGCATTTAAATTATGGTGTTGGAGAAGAATATTAAAAGAACCATGGACTGTCAGAAGAACAAACAAATCTGTCTTGGAAGAAGTCCAGAATGCTCCTTAGAAGCCAGGATGGTAAAACTTCATCTCTGATACTTTGGACATGTTATCAGGAGAGACCAGTCCCTATGGAAGGATATCATGCTTGGTAAAGTGGAGGGTCAGCAAAAAAGAGAAAGACCTTCAACAAATGGATTGACACAGTGGAAGTAGGTTGGTTTTAAATGTAACAACAATTGTGAGGATGGCACACGACCGGGAAATTTTGTTCTTGTGTACATAACATCACTATGAGTTGGAACAGGCTTGACAGCACCCAACAACAATGTATAGACCAATGAAAGGATCCCTAATGCTGTAATGACTAAGTGCTTGGCTTCTAAAGGAAAGTTCTGCAGTTCTACCTCACAAGCAGTCCTGCCAATATTTTAGTTTATGAAACCTGATTGGGCAGTTCTATTCTTCTTATACAAGCTGCTATAAGTTGGAACTGATTCAACAGCACACAACATTTAGATCTTTATGAAAGAAATAGGCCCCAACCCCTTTCCTTACCTTTTCTTAACCTGAACACACAGACAAAAATCGCTATACATGGAAACTATTATTTCATACATCTACACATGGCGTTAGCATATATCAGGGAAATGAAGATATGTTAAACTAGGAAGCATATCAATAGAGTATGTGTCATTGCTGGGAAAAAATCCAGACCTTTCCACTATTATCAAAGCGGCACATCAGTTTTCATATTCTGTTCAGAGTATTATATGAGTATCAGAGAAGGCACATGGATAGTAAGGTAAGTCACCTGGGTCTGCTTTCTCTGATGCTGCTGCATCGTGGTACCCAATGTGCACTGTGGTACCCAATGTGCACTGTGCCTTCCTTGGGAGGGCACAGTGCATGCTGCTGCTGCTTTTCACCATCTTTTCCTAGATTATAAAAATCTTCTCACCCCAAGCATACCCCGCCTTATGCAACATACCTGTATCCACTCTCTATAAGAATCTTCTCCAGGAGTCCACCCGTTCTCTGGGTAGTTCAGGCGGGATCGTTCTGCAGACCAATTGGTGCTATACTGGGAAGATGCCATGATCTGGTCAGAATGAATCTCTCCTGATTCCATACCCAGAGCTTCCATACATTTAAAATCTGAAAGGCAAAAAAACCCAAAGGTTCAAAGTCATCAAAGCATAGATGACATAAGAAATATGTTTCTTTTTAATATGGTAGATTAAAGAGTTCATTTTGGTGCTGACAAAAAAGATGACAGCCAGGAAGGAGCTCTGGATTCATAACCCCAAGGTCGGCAGTTCAAACCCCCCAGATGCTCCAAAGGACAAAAGAAAAGATGACAGCAAGGAGCTTATTGGAATTTGGCACTCATATTTGCAATTTCATGGAAATGGTTTTAAAAAATGTAATGCTATAAAATCATCCCAGTGATTAATTATCGCCCCAGTGGGTTAGCAGACACTCTGTGGAATTCATTAGATAGAAAATGGTAAAATTCAGATTTATTCTCCAAGATGAACATATATAGAAATGTCATGTGTCTACACATCAGTTGTGTTTACATAAAATTTTAGTGCTGCATTATTTCCTACCCTATCTCATACAAACTGAAAAAACCCCACCAATGTCCATTTACAATTTACATTGGGTGGAACTAGACCTTAACTCTCTACGATTTAGGTTCCTTGCAATTGGCACAAGAACACCTCTCTGGCTTGATCAGCATTGTTAACATCATTAGTTGATTACACTAAAACACAAAAGTATCCACCAGGGGTAACCTGCAGTATCATATGGCCCCTAAGAGCACCACAGTTTTACAGCATAAAATAATAATGCTCCCAGTGATAACCATTCATCATCCAAACAGGCTTTCCATTAAGCCTCATGTACTCAGTTTGATGGTATTGGGAAATGAGTAATCAATTTTCAGAAAATGTTCATCCAAAGTAGCTAAAGTGAAAAAAAGCTTTGGAGATTAAATGGAAAATTCTCAACCATCCAGAAAAACTCAACAAACCAAATTAAAAAAATGACAACTTCTGCCCTAGCAGGTGATTTGTCATAATAGATAAAGTTTTATGGCTTTATACTTCTAAGCTTAAGTTTGTTACATGCAAAATAAAATTATGTATAAGCACAAAACATACACTAATCAAGGCAGTAAATAAATGACAAATTTGATTTTGAAATGTAACTGCCTTTAAAAGAAATCTGATAGAGAAGATATTAATATATCTAGAGAAAGAACAAGTCTGGTAAACACTCGCTTGACCTATTTTACAACCTGGCAGCTTGGACTGTTGAAACACGCAAACAACTTGGTTGTTCTTTCAGGTTTTTTTTTTTTTTTTTTTTTATTCCTTAGGCCCATGAAAGAGCTGAAAACTTCATAAGTTTTGAGAAAGGGTTGAGTTAGTTTAAGTATTTTAGTAGAATCCAAAACTATGTATCTATTTTTTTTTTTTTTTTTACCTGTTATATGGGATAAAAGGATTAAGATGTGTTTCTTTTACATTGATACCCACTTTCATTCAAGAAAGAAAAAGAAAAATGGCTTCCTCCAGGGTCTTCCACCAAAGCAAACTAGCACTTGCTCAGTCAACATTCGGTGTGACTGCTTTGTCTATGAGCTTCCCACAGATTTGTTCTTATCCTCTGGGATCAATGATTCTCAGGCCATTCCCCATTCAAGAGAGCAGGTAGGTGGTCTGGCTTTAGTTCATTGTTTCAAGGCACTCTTTTTCCATTTCTCATTTTTCTCCCATAATTTCAGAGACTCATAATCAACCCTCTTATCCACAATTCTATTAGGAAATCACACCAAATAGTTTTTCCTTCTGACAGTCACAAAAACCATTTAAAAAGAGAAAAACAAACAGTTGGCACCTCAATTCACAACATACTTTAGTGATTCATGTGGCTGCAGGTGTGTGAGGGGGAATAACCAGGGAGTATTTACCACAGGGCTTTGCGAGAGATGAATAAACACTGACCTTCGGAGACACTGCTCTGCAAGACACTATAGTTTGCTGAGAAGCCTTCTTTTGCTATTGCGCTGTCGGTATAAAAAACCATGGATAGAATGCCTGATGAAGAACGGATTCGACCTGGTGTTTTCTGTCCACAGTAACGTCCAATGTGAGGGCCGACTGGAAAGGGGAAAATGCAGACAATGTCAGATTGTCTTTACTCCTAAAGCAGATAAAACACTAGCCATTTGCAAATGTGGGATCCAGCAGAACTCAGAAGTGTTTTCCAACCCAAAGCAAGTTTTCCCAGGTGAATCAGTCAGCATTGGACCAGGTTTGCTAAGAGGATTTGAAAGGGTGCTCAGGAGGACAATGACAGCATGGTTGCATCCCCACTGAGCAGGATTGTTTTCAGGAGCAGAATGGAAATGGTTGATGCAATTGCAATTCAAATGTTTGTTTCAAGTGGTTATAGGACCTTCATCTCCATGTGATGGCACACAAACCTCAGCCCTGAAAGACCCCAGCTACTCTGTGATCATCAGGACAGAACAATCTTCTCACCTTCGGCCTTAGCAGGTGATCCTGGGTAAGGCTAATGTCACAAGGGTGTGATCAAGCACTGAGTAACCCCAATTTCTTTCCTCCTTTCAGTCATAGATTTCTATTAAAATAACCATCATAAATAAGCATCATGGACAATGGATTACTCCCTACTCAAGATATATTCTAAAGCAGGGGTGTGGAATCTTTTTTTCTGCCACAATGTATAACAACATTTGTGGGCCATACAAAATTACCAACTTAAACACTAGCCTGCTATATTCAGTCAAACATTTCACTAACTCATCCCTAATGTGATGGCTTGAACTGTGGTCAACTTGGCAGGGCCAGACCAAATGATTTCTGGTGTGGCTCTGTGATTTAATGCGCTGGATCGCAAAGTCGGTTTGAACTGCAAGGTAGATGGTTCAAGGCCACCAGAAGCTCCTTGGAGGAAACCCTATACAGGGTCACTATGGGTTGGAACAGAGGAGCGCACTTAATGACAACAATATGGCCCTGGGGCCATACGTTCCCCACCCCTGCTCTAAAGACTAACTAGTAATTGTACCAATTTAAAACTTCTAAGATTATAGAAGGAGACCTGATAGAGCAATGGGGTAAGCATTGGACTATGAACTGCAAGGTCAGCTGTTCAAATCCCCCAACCATTCCATGGGAGAAAGATGAGGCTGTCTGCTCCCATAAAGATTTACAATCTCAGAAATCCTGTGAAACACTTGTCCACTATGAATTTAAATCAGCTTCACAGACGTGGGTTTGGGTTTTTTAATAGTGACTATGATGGTGATGATGGTGTGGCGCTGTGGGTTAATGCGCTGGACTGTAAAGTCGGTTTGAACCACAAGGTTGGTGGTTCAAGCTCACCAGCAGCTCCTTGGAAAGCCTACACAGAGTAGCTGTGGGTGGAAACCGACTCGATGGCACTTAACAACAACAATGATGGTGATGGAGTCCTGGTGTGGCACTGCGGTTTAATGCGCTGGACTGCAATGTTGATTTGAACCATAAGGTCAGTGGTTCAAGTTTACCAGCCACTCCCTGGGAACCCTATATAGGGTAGCTATGAGTCAGAACCAACTTGACTGCACACAACAAAAACAACACAATGCTATTAATTTAAAAATCACAATTTTCAAAAAAAATTAATTTTTTGATTCCTATCTCAGTGTTTGTTTTTTCTTTTTTTTTTTTTTTTTGAGGTTCCTCAAACCTAACCACAACACTACTGTATTATGTTGTGTTCAGTAGCCAAGAGATGGCCCCACACAGCCATTTGACTGTGCCAGCCTGGAAAAAAGGAGTCCACACCCCCAAGGCAACAGACCATTTGGAACACTGATTAATTTGTGCTAATGTCAAAATTGCTGTTTGACTCCAACAAGGGAGTGCTGGTATGGTGCTGTAGCATAAGCACAGGATTGTTGACCTCGAGGTCGGTGGTTCAAACCCACCAGCTGCTCCATGGAAATCCTATCTAGGGTTACTATGAGTCGGAACCAATACAACAACACTTAACAGCACAGCTGCAGCTACGCCTTGGTTGAGAAGTGCTCTTACACAGACCTTGGCAATTAGTAATTGTAAGATGCCTTATGGATAGCCCAGAAACCTCCCGGACTTGGAGAATCTGCCCATTTCTCTATCTGCATCAGCAGTGAGAAAAAAGAAAAAACAAAGTCCTTTTTCTCTAGTTTTTTTTCATTGCACATATGTTGAAAACATACCAGATGGTTTGAACTTAGAAGGACAATCTGGTGTGGACAATTTTTCCCTCCAAGAAATCCATGGTTCTGTGCATTTAAATGAAGAGTCGCTGTGTTGTTTAAGAAAGCACAGTAGGCAAACCTGTTTCTGGAGGGACGGGGCTTTAACAGGGTCCCACTCTTGGCATTTGTTCCAAGGTCTGTGTGAATAGCTTGGATTCAAAAGTCAGCTGATAAGGGCTAAGAGAAGCTGCAAGTGTTAATAGAAATGTTAACCCAACAAAAATATATGATCTGAGAACTGATCTCCTCGGAATTCCATGCACAAGCTGAGTCCCTACACCAAAGCCCAAACTCACTGCCATGAACTTAATTCGGACTCATAGCAACCTTGTAGGGCAGTTGTTGCTGTTTTTAAGTGCCATCGAGTCAGTTCCCACCCATAGCGACCTCGTATAGGGTTTCCAAGGAGCGGCTGGTGAGCTTGAACTGCCAACCTTGCAGTTCAAATGGCTTTGCAGGCTGGTGCATTAACCCACAGCACCACAGCAGGACTCTCTGTAGGAAAGAGAAGAACTACCCGAAGGGATTCTGAGGCTGACCTGTCACGGGAGCAGACTATCACATTTTCTCCCATGGAACGGCTCGTGCATTCCAACTTCCAACTTTTCAGTTAGCAGTCCAGAACTTAACCAATGTGCCATTAAGCCTAGATAGCTCATCCCAGTACCCTGATGTTTAGGATGTACAGATTAAGGGCTTAGATTTTCAATTCTTGGCATTCAACTAATCAAAACTGATATATTTAGTAACTTCTCAGTGCATCGAAAGTAAAACTGATTTGATTGAATTCAAAACAATTTTCTCTTTATAGAAATGACCTCAATCTTTAACAACCCTTGTTCTCTTTGTACAGATTCTATTCTATCATGAAGAAAGCCAGGAAAATGACCTAGTAAGGAGAATTGTATAGATAGTCTCCAGGTTTTCACATTGCAATGGGAAATAGATGTGCATTATGGAAAGAGGATTTTGTTATATTGGGCTTCCTGGTTGGTATGAAAAAAAGGAGAAAGATAAACTTCTTTCCGCTTTTGATTACCCCCGCCTCCCCCCTACCTCTTCAGCTTTAGTCTTGGCCACAGATTCTTCTGCAACAACCACTAGTTCTTTGTTGTTGTTATTGTTGTTAAGTGCTGTCGAGTCAGTTCCGACCCATAGCAACCCTGTATAGGTTTCCAAGGAGTAGCTGGTGAGCTTGAACCACCGACCTTGCAGTTCAAACGGCTTTGCAGTCTGGCGCATTAACCCACAGCGCCATATTCTGAATGTGGCCCTACTACTGATTCAACATTCATTCCTTTTCTTTCCCAGAGAACTCAAAGTTGCTTGTAATACATATCTTGCTCGAGTCATAAACTCTAGTCTTCTTCCTCAAAAAGAATTTCCTATCTGGTGTCTTATTTTAAAAAGAGTCCATTTATATCTTTGCATTTTCTCTCCATTTAAATTCCATTATGCTGGTTTCATGACCTTTTTCTTTTAGCTTTTGGGCAAACTGTTATGGGATCGTCTCTGATCACCGTAACCACTGACCTTACCCCGCATATAAGCAGGGACAGGACACTGTGATCACCCTGTGCAGGCTCCGGCTGGTCCTCCCCCTCCACTATCATCCAAGTCCTTTGGGGAGGGTGGGAAGGGGAGTCTCTTTGAAAGAGCGAACAGAAGAGAACTTGTCTAATGCAGACTCATAATTTCGAGAGTCTCCATGACTCACTGGTTGATAATGTTTAAGACATGCTGGGTAAATCTGCCTTCTGTCCTTTAGAACATTGCCCCCAGACAGCAGCAAGAAACTCTCTTTAGGAGCCCTCAAGACATGAGAGTGAAAGGCTTTCGCGACTATAATACAAAGAAGTATTGAATTTTCCTGAACAACAGCAAGATCTTCGCCCAGCAAGCTAATGCAATATTGATCTGAGCAAGAGCGGATGAAGTACTCTTATCCTTTTTGTGTGTGTGCTCATTTGTATATTACACAGCTATTGAATTTCTTATTTCCTTTACTGTGGACCCAGACACCCAGGAGATGAATGAAAAACGTCACACAAACAGAAGTGTAAGTCAAATGTATTGAAACATTTAAGCAAGCAACATCCGCCAAGTTATCATCTGGCGGAGAACAGTCTAAGATGGCAATGTCTTCCCAGGTGTAGAAGCAACACAGGGTTTGTGCTGTCTAAAACCATCTGCAATTGGGCATGGCATTACTACATTCTTTAAATTGTCCTCTTAATCTCTCCAATAATCACGATCTTATCTTATGAACCTGGTGTGTCATCCCTGGACTGCTAACCATAAGGTCAGGGGTTCAAACCTACCAGCCCCTCCTAGGAAACCCTATTCAGTTTCACTGTGAATTGGAACTGACTTAATGTCACTTAACAACAATGACAACACCTTATGATTAACAATTTAGATTCCTGTTGCTTTTTCAACGTGGAAGAGAAAAACAGCAACAAGTTACTATCAAGAGCTACTTTTCAAATGAGTTCTTTCGGCTAAATAAACAAAAAAGGGAAACCATTTCAAAGATTAAAGATACACCATGTAGACTTTGATACAATTAATAATCATTTTGGTGGAGACTATTTGGAAGACTAAATATAAACTTAGCTACTATGCCACAGACAGATTTTTTCAGACTTATTTCTCTCCATCTTTGTGTTTTTAAAAGTTTAATTTTAATACACACATAAATAAAGACCACAAACAGAACTCAATCTAGCTTGTATGAACCGTCTTCCTAAGAGTATTTGCAATTTTTGGAATGTAACCCAACTACAGCAGAGGCTAATGTCTTTGCCTCTGTCCCCCACTCCTGTACACCTGGTGTGAGGTAAGTATTCATGTGTGGCTCCAGAATTCTATGGGACACGGTAACAGCTAAGGCTAGTGGCTCTCAAACCACATGTAAACTTTCACAAATTACTTCAGAGTTGCTACTTGAGAACAATCACATAGATCTACAAAGTGGTGAATGGGGATGTGTGTTTCACAACCTGCATGCCTTGGATTCTGAGTTTTTGAGAAAACTGCTCTTCTTCAAAGCCAATCTGAATCAATGTGTAGCTTTCAATTACTTAGTCATTTAATTCAATGCTCATGATAAAATACAACATAAAATGAGGTGACAGAATCCTTCAGCGCCTTCTGGTTGCCATTTTTGGAAATGTTATCAAATAATGAGAGTAATGTTACTGGCAAAGGAGGCGTATGCATTGAACTACTATAACATCGACAAAAACAAAACAAAACAGAGAGATGCAGTCCAGTATTTTGCCTACACCGCTTTGCTGGTGTAGGCTGGATGAGGCCAGGTAAATATTAACAAATATATAAACACATTTTTTATATCCCAAAGCCAATTTTCTCTGGGAATAGTCAAAGGCACCACAGTTCAAAACATGGGTGAATTGTAAGGCTGATAACTCTTATTGTTAATTGTTCCTCGTTTCAACTCAGTGATTTGCTAGAGCCAGAAAATTACTACTTTGAAAAACCCTTGGCACTAATAACAATGAGTTTCTTTCTGGAAGTATTCTAAATAAGTTGGTTGATTGGCCCTCCTTTTCAGATGTCATTTTAAATGAAAGTTCTAGATGGGGAGGCTGAAATTTGGGTTGTGAACAAATAAACCCATTATTAAATGTTTCCACTAGTGCTGCAATATTATTATAACATGGTTTTCCTAATTATCAGATAGAATACTGAAAAGCCATCAGCATTCTGTTTGGGTAAATTTTATTATTTAATGAAGGCGTTTTGATAAGATCATCATAATCCGGTTTACATGGTAAAAGAGCAAAGATGCAACTAAAGTAACAACTCCTCCATTTATTCTAATGATAATATAAGCTTTCTCTAAACCCACTTTTTTACTATGATGTTTACTAGGGAGGAACATTCCTGAGCTGAATTTTAATGTCACACTGGTAATTTTAATGTCAATTCAAAGACTAAGATATTCGCTTTCAGGTTGTACTTGGTATTCATTTACAATTTCTTTAAATATTCTTTCCTCTGAATTGATAATGATATATGACTATTTTATACTCACTGTGGTTGAGTACACTGTGACTCAAAACAACCATATACAAAGCTGAATTGCTTCGGAAATGTTATAGGAAGCAGACTGCCTCATCTTTCTCCTAGGAAGCAGCTGGTGGATTAGAACCATTGACCTTTGGGTTAGCAGTTGAACATTTAGACCAGTGTGCGACCCTGGATCCCTCTATTTTATAGATGGTAATGTATTTCTAGGAGTCCTGCTGAGGTGCTGCAGGAAAATGCACTGAACTGAAAGGTCAGTTTGAACCAGAAGGTCAGTGGTTCAAACCCACCAGCTGCTCCTCAGAAACCCTATATAGGATCGCTATGAGTCAGAAGCAACCCAAAGGCACTTTACAACAATAATAAATCTGTTGTTCTTAAGTGCTATCGAGTCAATTCCGACCCATAGCGACCCTGTACAGGGTTTCCAAGGAGCGGCTGGTGAGCTTGAACTACCGACCTTGCAGTTAAAACGGCTTTGCAGTCTAGCACATTAACCCACAGCGCCACATCTCTAGGGACATGCAAAGTTGGTTTGAACCTCAAGGTCGGCAATTAACAACAACAACAACAAATACAAACAACACAGCTGCAACACATGATTGGATATTATCTCCCTCAGTTCAGAATTTGGAGATGTATTTGTGCCATTCACCTTTGAATTCACAAGAACTGAATGAAAACTGCCATTTCAATGTCCATGTGACTCCCTCCTCCATCTCCTTCCTATCTTTGCTCAAATTTCACTTTCTTAATATAAACCTTTGGAGTCCTTGTGTGGCGCTGCAGGTTAATGCAAAGTCAGTTTGAACCACAAGGCCGGTGGTTCAAGCTCACCAGTCGCTCCTTAGAAACCCTATATAGAGTTGCTTTGGGTCAGAACTGACTCGATGGCACTTAACAACAACAGTAATATAGACCTTTAGCAAGCCATTGAAAATTTCAACCCATACATTTATCTCTGCAAACTCTTTACCCATCTCACCCTTTACCCTGCTTTACTTTCTTTCATTTCTTCCTTCCTTCTCTTTCCTGTCTGCCTGCCTTCCTCTTCCCTGCCTCTGTCCCTCCCTCCTTTCTTTTTGCTTAAAGCATTTCTCAAGGGGTCATTAGGTTACAGAACAGACAAGTTGATAACAAAAGCTACATTCCATATATATGTTGTTGTTAAGTGCCATCAAGTCAATTCTAGTTCATAGTGACCCTGTATAGGGTTTCCAAGAAGTGGCTGGTGAGTTTGAACTGCCGACCTTGAGGTTAGCAGTCCAGTGCTTATCCTGCAGCACCACACCCGGACTCCTTCCAGATACACAATTCACTTATTTATTATGTGTACTGTTTATTTGTGGCGCTGTGGGCTATTGCGTCAGACTGCAAAGTCATTTGAACTGCAAGGTTGATATTTCAAGCTCATCAGCTGCTTCTTGGAAACCCTACACAGGTTCGCTATGAGTTGGAATCAATTCGATAGCACTTCACAATAACAATAACAACACAGACTCCACAACCCAAACCCACTGCCACTGAGCAGATTCTGGTTCATGGAGACCCTATTTATAGAGAACGGCCCCATACAACTTCCAAGGCTGTAAAAAGCTTTACGGAAATAGAAAGTCACATCGACTCCCATGGAGTGGCTGGGGAGTTAGAACTGCTTTACCCTCTGCACCCTCAGGGAAGCCCTTTTTGATTGTTCTGTTTGCCAAGTGCCCAACAGTGCCCACCTGATCGGTACTCACAAAATATTTTTCAATGGGTGAATGAATTGAGATGATTGAATCAATGAACATAAATCATATTGAGGTGACTGAAATTGCCGAAGATGAAAATGGCCTCTAGAGCAGTCCGAAAATCTGCCTAAATAAAACAGCTCAAAATTCAAGGATTCTCATTTCTTGCCTAAATTTTTCACTTTGTGTGTGTGTGTGTGTGTGTGTGTGCGCACCATAATGAATGCATATTTCACCCTTAAATTTTTATCAGTACCTTAACTTCATTAGCCTGGGTGGTGCTGTAGGATTAGTACTGGACTGCTAACTACAAGGTTGGCTGTTCAAACTCACTAGCTGCAGGACCAAGATGAAGATTTACAATCTTATATGGGGTGGCTATGAGTCAGAATCAAATGGACAACAGTGAGTTTGGTTTTGAATGAACTTAGTTCTGGTGGCCTTGTGGGTTAGATATTGGGCTGCAAACTGCAAGGTTGGCAGTTCAAGCCTGCCTGCTGCCCTGATACAAAAGTTGTGGCTGTCTGCTCCTGTAAAGATGCACAGTCTTGGAAACCTTAAGGAGCACTTCTATCCTGTCCTGTAGAGCTGCTGTGAGTTGGGATTGGACTTGATGGCAGTGGTTGGTTGGTTAACCTGTCTGGCCCTTAGTCCTTGATTTATGAAACTGAAGGGATTGATGTAACTGATCTCTCACAACTCAATCTCTGATAGTCTATGACTTAATGACAGTAGACAGCTGCCTAGGGAAGGAAAATGTGACAATCTACCTCCTAAAACCAACCAGTTAAAACCCTATAGATTCCAATGGTCCATTTGCAGTTGATCATAGATTCAATGGCCGGAAACAACAACAGCAATATTTTGCAAGTTAGTACTCTAGTTTAGACAGGAAAATATGCTTTAGTATCAATTCGATTGCCAAAGTAGCTGGAAAACCTTGTGTAATCTTACATGGTCTCAGTTTTCTTACCTATAAAATGAAGTAATGGACAAGAGAACCGCTAAGATCCTCTAGAGCTCAAATATTTCATCACTGCTCTATAGAAAAAACACTGTTGCATTGACCACCCCTTCACCCTGCCCCCCACCCCGCTTGATTCTGAACCATCCTTTTTCAAAATGACGCATGTATCATGGCACTTATAAATGACTCCTGATGCTCCTCCACTACGCCTTTCTGTTTTGAGGATGCTTCATGCGGCTCTTACCATCAGGGAATCCATCCCAGATTTCTAGTCGATCATAGAGACAGAACATTCCCCCTGGAGGATTTGAGTCAAGCTCCAGGTCAAAGCTTTCAAATTCCAGGATAATCTCTGACATCTTTGGAGCAAAGATAATGTAAGTGCATTCCAGGCCGTTAGGATATTTTTCAGGGAATCCAGGGGACTTTATGACTCCAGTAGGTGTTGTATAGTTCTGGGAACATTCCGGACCTACAAGTGGAAAAGAATAAGAAGTAAAGTGACTAACTCAGACAGTTTCTCCAAGAAAAAACAGGGCAAAGATAACAGGTCTTGCTAAGAGAACCCATTTAAATCACTCATTACTCAGTGATATAAGTGAGAGGTACAGAAAGCCAATTTGAGATTTATTGTTTTCACCCTACTTTTCCATTTGTATGGAGCAATTGAAAAACTTCTGCTGTTGGAAAGAGACAGAGAGAGAAAGACAAATATAAAATCATGTGGGAACAATGAATGAGTAAGCTGCAGAAATCTCGACAGAGCCCTAGAGAAATAATTATAGCCCCTTCAAGTTTAAATCTTTAAATCTTAAGGCTGACAAGCCCTTTATTGGTGAAATAGAACATTTGCAAAAGTGAGCGAGTGAATTCAGCGGAGGGAGTTTGGGTTTCAGATTCCTATGCTAGTGACTCAGTAACTCTGCCAGATGTGACCTATGCCTCTTTGACAAACTAAATGTGAAAGGTAATTCGTACGTGGACCCAGGGTGAGTGACTCATTCGGAGTGGTGTTGACACAGGTGCAGTGGTAAAGTGTGGTTGTTAGTGTTACACTGTGATTACAGGTCGTGTTGCTCGAAGTCACCTAATATCAACGATGACATCCTAACCTTCCCCAAAGTATCAGATACTGTACTGTACGCCACTCTAAATAGTTCACTATGGAAACATTATCAATAAGGGCAATCAGTGTGTGTATGTGTGTATTCACCGTGCGTAATTCTAATGACTGCTCAGTACTACCAAGACTACAAATTACAGTCACTTGTAATTCAATGATGGTCAGGGACATAGGTATATAGTGCAAGCTGACGCCCTGACTGACCAGAATTTCAATTCATGGTCTCCAGCACTGACTACAAGAAGCCCTGGTAGTATAGTGGATTATAAACTGGGCTGCTAACCACAAGGTCAGTAGTTCAAATCTATCAGTCAGTCCTTAGAAGAAAGATGAGGCTTTCTGCTCCTGTAAAGATTCACAGCCTCAGAAACCCTATACAGCCGGGGTGGGGAATGTCTATCCCACAGGCCTTAGTTGTTGTTGTTAAGTCCTGTTGAGTCTATTACAATCCACAGCGACCCTGTACAGGGTTTCTGAGGAGCAGCTGGTGAGCTTGAACCACCGATCTTGCAGTTCAAACAGTTTTGCAGTCTGGCACATTAACCCACAGTGCCACACCAGGACTCCAGCCATCACATTAGGGGTGAGTTAATTAAATGTTTGACCAAATATAACAGGCTAATTTTTAAGTTGATAATTAGGCTCATGAAATCATTTGGTCTGTTCCTGCAAGGCAACCGCTGTTCAAGTCATCACATTTGATCAAATATAGCAGGTTTATTTTTAAGCGGATAATTTTGCATGGCCCACAAATAATATTATAAATATTCAAATCGCCGTTGGCAGAAAAAAATATTCCCCACCCCTGCGACACAAGGTCGTTATGTATCAGAAGCAACTTGAAGGTCCACCACCATCAGCAATGAACATGGTGCTACTGACTACAACATTGAAAACTTCCCTTCTATTTAGATACAAGCAGGCCAATTCCTCCCACAACCCCTGCCACTGCCGCCATGCTTCTCAGATGCTACATTTTAAGGTTCTGTGTAGGTTATAGATGCCTCAACCCTTTTGAATTTCAGAATAAAATTTTGGGGTGTTCAATTAAAGACTCCTTTTCTGGATCCATTAAACTAAGGTTTTACCCACCTTTATATAAGGCTCCCCTCCATGTACAAACAGAAGGGTACCCTACAATGGCATGCGTGGATTCAACTCTAAATAAGGTGGGTGCGTGTGATTTTCCTAAACTAAGTGTTCTCCAAGAATGCCAAGCAACTAGAAGCAACATATTACCATCAATACAGATGAAATCTAACTTGCAAGTCTCTATTTTTAGTGACTCAGGTCCAGAAGTGGAATCTCCACTTTAGTGCGTCTGGCAGTCAATTGAGAAGGCAAGTCAATTGTTTTCTCCCTGTGGGCAGATTAGATGGCCAACGCCATTGGAGACTCAAAAAATCCGTATTAGATGGGCAGAGCGAAGCTGGTCCACAGAGGTCTGATTTGCTTACATAACTTCCAGAACATTCTTGGACAGGCTTACCCTTCACCATAACTGCTCGAATATTTAGCTATTTGATTTTTGTTAAAAAGTCAACAGCATGTTGCATTTTGGTGTGTCGATTCCAGTTGAAGAGATTCTAGAATGTGCTATCTAGTATATAATTTGTTTGTACTCTGGTAGCTTCTGACATATATACAATGCCTGTTTAAATAATCAAATCCTAAAGAAAATATAGGACATTGAGAACGTTTTATGATTTTATTTCCAACATATGGGGGGCACTGGAGACTCAACCTCCCTCCTGGGAGTGGAGTGTTTGAGTCAGGTCTCTGTACGGCAAAGTAAACAGCAGAATTTACTGCAGGCAGTAATGCTGTTCAGCTCGTTAAAAGGATTAATCCAGGTGAGATTAAGACTTCCTAAAAGGGTTAGGAAGACTCCTGATGAAAAGGGCCCTAGCACAAGGAGATTCCTATTTAACAGCAACCACGCAACCGCCACTCATCTGTCTGTCGTGCTGTGGTGGTTTGAATTGCTGTGATCTGAGGGCTATGCAACCGGTATTTGGTGGTGGAAAGGTTTCAGATGAGCCTCCAAACAAAGACAGACTAGGAAGAAAGAGTGACAAACTACTTCCAAATCACTAGTCACTGAAAACTCTATGAATAGCAGAGAAAATAGAGAATAGAATTCCAAATTCTCATGGAGAATTTCTGGAGTCATGGAGGGTGAATGAAACCTGAAACTATTATACCCTGAGACAATCTTTAAATCTTTAACTAAAAATATCCTCTGGTGTCTTCTTAAAACCAAGCAATAATTTACATTAACTAGTAAAAAAAGGTCTGTCTCTAGCATCATGTTCTTTGAAAAGCTATCTACATAAGATCAAATTTACCACAACAACTTGTGAGGTTACCCAGAAACCTTAGAGGGCAGAGAGTTTTGTTAATGGGGGAGAAACAACTCAGATAAGGAAGGGAGAATAGCTGCAGTGTAATCAATGTTTGTTTGAACATATGGAAACTGTTGAGTTGGTATACTGTGGTATATATATTTACTGTGCATATATGAAATAAATAAAAAAATTTTAATAAAACAATTGTTTTTTCAGTTTTAAAAACACAGGAAATGAGTGACAGGAATTAGGAACATACTTTCAGAACAATGAATTTGAAGGCCTTTACTTAGTCTCATCATGCCAGATACCTTTAGAAATTGTTGTTGTTGTTAAGTGCCGTTGAGTCGGTTCCGACCCATAGCGACCCTGTACAGGGTTTCCGAGGGTGTAAATCTTTACGGGAGTAGAAAGCCTCATCTTGCTCCTGCAGAGCTGCTGGTAGTTTCAAACCGCTGACCTTAAGGTTCGCAGCCCAATTCGTAACCACTACGCTACCAGAGCTGGTTTTCTCAAATATTTTGAGCAAACTTAAGAGAAGCTCTGTGGGGGTAACAGAAGGAACAGAATTGAACTGAACTGAGGAGATCAGCATTCTAGTTCTACCTTAACCACTAACATGCTGTGTGATCTTGGTGGTGGTTCTCAGATTCTACAGATCCAATAGAGACTGGACTTTAGAATTTGAAAACAAAAAAACTCCTGCTAAGTTAAAGATTCTATAATTCTCTATTTCTTTCATTCCTTACCAAAATTTATTTGAATAGTTTCCCTTCTTCACTGCTGTATAAATTTTCCTGAACTAAACTAGCAGCTCCCCAGAAAAGGAATGGTGGGTGTAGGTTCAAGAATACTGGGGTAAGCTCACACTGATAAACAGTGATTTTGCTAGCAGCCCGGCATGTCTAGGAGTGAATGAGCTGCTAAGCTGGGGGTGGGGTGGGGACACACACAAGCATTGGGGGTTAGTGAACACCATGCTTTTGAAGTGATTTATAAGAGGCAGAGTAGCTGTAAGAATGTTACAATTAGTTGTTGATGACAATAAGGATGAATAATAATAGTTGAGATACTCTGTAAGCAGTGAATACTAAATACAGACTATTAAGCAAATATCATACGATGGTACTTCAAAAAGTTTTGGGGAAATTCCATTATCTTTTCATTCTATTTTTCTACAAACTTTTGGAACCCTTCTCATATATCAAGTAATCAAGTCTGCTGTAGGATAAGCACTGAACTGCTGGCTGAAAGGTCAGTGGTTCAAACCCACCAACCACTCTTCAGAAACCCTATATAGCCGACTCGACAGCATTTACCAAGAGCAACAATAAACACGTTATGTATCATAATTGTAATGGATATTGTTTATTCATACTTCTTCAGAGACAAGTACTGTCCACATGCTTTCCATATTTTCAATTCAACTGATCTTCATAAATGCCTGGCTAGGTACTACTATTCATTTTTCAGATGAGGAAACCGAGGCTCTGAACATTCATACAGTTAGCCAGGGGCAGAATTAGGATTCAAATGCAGCCAGGTCTGCTGGACACTACAACCTGTGTTTTAACCACCTCACAAAAGCAGACTGAATTTGTAGGGGTTGAAATTGAAGAAATGCAGGGAGTAGGTGCTGGCAAGTGTAAAATGGAACATTGAGCATTTGATACTACGCAAACCTTCTGTGGGTCTTTTGAGCACAGTGACTGAGGAATGTTTGAAAATCTGTGTGTAGAACAGAGTAACATGGGGAGAAGCACAACTGAAGGACTATATGGCTAGTGGCAGTGGGTATGGAAATGAATCCATGACTCTTTGAGACCTTTGGATAAAAATTCCAAAGGAGAGGCCATATTGGATTTAATGAGTCAAGAAGAAAAACAAAACAGGGTTCCAAGTCCCAAGGATGGTACAGGAAAGCAGGGAAGGGAGACTGTGGCATTGTTTGCTGTTGTTGTTATGTGCCGTGGAGTCGGTTCCGACTCATAGTGACCCTGTTTCCGAGGCTGTAAATCTTTACGGGAACAGAAAGCCTCATCTTTCTCCCGCGGAACAGCTGGTAGTTTCGAACTGCTGACTGTGAGGTTTGCAGCCCGATTCGTAACCACTGCGCTACCAGAGCTCCTTCCGATTCGTATTAGACTACCAAAAATGTGGGAAAAGCAGAGTTCATTTGGAAGGAAGATGGGAAAATTCTCGATGGCTTGGCAACAGATCTTTCTCTTTCAACCATCCTCAGGAACATTAAAAATCAAATGCTATGTATGCTTTTTCTCTTTTCTGATACCCTTTTTCTTTTATAGTGCTATCTGCAGACAAGCAAGAGAATTTAGATGTACTTATGCACACATGCTTATACACGTATATACATACCTATATAATATTAAAAGAAAACATGTATATATGTTATCATTGTACATTTGATGCCATATATACTGTTCTGTATACTAAAGGTGTCTTAATTATGTGCATAGATATGTTTCTGAAGAAAGTTACCTCCATTTATTCATATTTATGTGGATAGAGTCTGAGTTTTTGAAATTTAAACAAGTTGTACAAAAACTCCTAAAGGCTCTTCTTTTTATTGATCTCAGATGTTGCTGACCCAGAGACATTAATTAGGCTTTTGTAATTGGTATGACTAGATTTGCTTCCACTGGGGGAAAAAATCAAGACTCTCCTGTGGTGGTGGTTGTGTGCCATCGAGTCGGTTCTGACTCACAGTGACCCTATATAGGGTTTCTGAGGCTGTAAAACTTTACAGGAGCTGAAAGTCTCATCTTTCTCCCATGGACCAAGTGGCAGTTTTGAATGGCTGACCTTGTGGTTAGCAGCCCAGCCCATTCATAACCCCCTACACTACCAGGGGTTCCTTCTTCCTCCTACATTCAAGAACAATGCAAATGCATTCAAATCTTGAGCTTCTGTCCTTGGACTGGTGGTCCACATTTTGATGCAACCTTAAAAATGGAAATAATTGAAAGGCTGTATTTAACATATAAAAGCACTGGCTGGTGCTGGAAACAGTACTTCCAGATAAAGTTACATTACTTACTGATCGATTGATATGTGTATTTAAAGGAGCTCTAGTAGCATAGCTCTGGTAGCATAGTGGTTACGAATTGGGCTGCCAACCTCAACGTCAGCAGTTCGAAACTACCAGCTGCTCCGCGGGAGAAAGACGAGGCTTTCTGCTCCCATAAACCCTGTGCAGGGTCACTATGGGTCGGAACTGTCTCCACGGTACTTACCAACAACCCACAGTAGCATAGTGTGGTGCTGTAGGTTAATGCGCCGGACTGCAAAGCTGTTTGAACTGCAAGGTGGCGGTTCAAGCTCACCAGCTAGCTGCTCCTTGGAAACCCTATATAGGGTCACTATGGGTCGGAATTGACACAACAGCACTTAACAACAACAACAGTAGCATAGTGCATGGATTACTAGTTGGGCTGCTAACTGCAAGGTCAGCAATTCAAGTCTACCAGTTGCTCTTCTGGAGAAAGATATGACTTTCTACTTCCATAAAGATTTGTAGTCTTGGAAATTTTATACAGGGTTGCTGTGAGTCAGAACCGACTCAGTGGCACACCACCACCACCACTGTGTGTATTTAATCTCTCAAGGCTGGGGAACTATGAATTGTTAGATTCTAGCCCAACCCAATACATATCACAAAAACATTGTAACAGAAGAGTAGCAAGTGATTGTATTGAAACAGGTGACTGATTTTTCATTCTTAATTGATGTGCCATTTAAAGCATTACTGATTCTTTGCCTCCAAGAGACTTTTTCCCCTCCTAACTAGCCTCTTTTAATACAGATCCTCTTCTTCCCTCAAAGGCTTTAGAAACTATAAAGCTAAACTAAGATGCTGTTTTACTTTTCCCGGGAACTTCCAGTCTTGAATGTTGTAATAAATAAAGGGAATAGAGTGTACAGAGCTTTAAGGTAAGAAGGGGGACTAATGCATTTTTAAGAAGAGAAATAAAGCTTCACGTGTAGCTTAAACTGATTTTCGAAAAAGAGAAAAAGAAATGCCTTAAGAATTTTATAAAGTATATTCTTTTATAAAGTATATACAACACTGGTCAACACATCAACATGATGCAATTTGATTCTTGAGATACATTTTCCAATGTTAAACATAGTGCTTCCATTCAATATGTCATTTTGTTTCAAAGTATGTCCCAACATGTTTGTAATGGAAATAGATGTATTTTCAGGAGAGAATAAAATCAGTATTCCCAGTCTTTCTCTGCATTTGGTCTTTCATGAACTCAAACAATGTTAATGGACATGTAATCTATTATAACATGTAATCTATTATAACATGTAATCTATTATACAGGTCTATTATAAGTTACTCACCTCTCTTAAAAATTTCGTAACGGATGGAAAATCCTGCACCATGGGTCTCATAGTCGGAGACAAATCTGATAAAAAGAAATGGCCCCGAAGACACTACAGGTGAAGGGGCAATCTTTCCACAAAATTTCCCCCACAAGCGTCCATTTGCATTGTCTCCATCGATGACTTCTACGTAGTCATACCTAGCGTGCAAACATGGTGAGAAAAAAAAAAAAAATTTAGATTGGTAAGACACCCTTCCTTTTCATTCTCATAATTGAGAAGCCAGCATTATCCAGAATTGTCTGTCAGTGGAAAAAATAAAAAAAAGTGCAGTCTGCATTCACCACTGCCTCACATAGAGGAAAGACAACTTGAGCAGAACGAAATAATTAAAATGGGCTACATCATGTCTGTATACATCATCTGGCAACACAGAACTATTAAGAATAATGGTGTCCATTATACTCGTAGACAATGTCAGTGAAAGTAACCAATTAGCAAGAAAAAGAAAAATCTCATGAGCACAATTCTCTATTATTAAATTGTGTCCCTTTGTCTATGGTGGTGGGGTGTCAATACATAATGCCATGCATTCTTTTCAAACTGTGAAGTTCTTTTATGAATTCAAACTCTCCCCTTGGCTGCAGCTCTCCATGAACAACACTTTGATTTCTGTGAGCGACCCTCCAAACATATGGCCACGGAATAATAAACAGATTCTTTACTATTTAACTAAATTCCACCCAACTACAGATTGCTTAGGGAAAAAAAAGACCACTCTCTCAGTATCCAAACCTGGTAGTTAAAACGCAGACCATCTTCTCCCAACCTACTTTCGGGTGATGGAACGTAATTTCTTCAAAGAGAAGACTTTATTTTAAACCGGAAAGTAACCTTGTGTATACCCACCATCTTAAATCTTTAAAGAAATATTATTGTTGGAAAAAGAAAAATTATACACTTGAAATCACCAAGTAACGTGATACAAAAAAAGAAAAACAAAAACAAAACAGGCTTAATAATGATTTGCTAAAGAAGCACACGATAAGTAAATGACAAATATGACACTAAAGCTTGCACTTAGGTAAAATAGGTCCCAACCTTACGTGCCCCTGAAATATGGAAAACCATCACCAATGAACTAGCATCTCCCAAGAAAACAGAAGATGTTTTGTTTGTTTGGTCTTCTGTATTTCTTAGTATCATGTTCTTTCCTCTGTTTTTAATTACCAAGTCACCTAGGGCCAGGTAATCTGATTTGTCTTCCATTTTTCTTCTGAAACTGACATGAACACATTTACAATCCATTCATTTCAGTCCTTGATTTTATTTCTCTATTTAACTGGAACCAAAAGTCCTGGGATATATTAATTCCAGGAATGGCTAAAATATGGCAGTAACATAAACTATATCTGGCAATTCAAAAGAGATCAAAGTGTGTGGGGGGGTATCTTCCTGATGACCAACGTCATCTTGAACAATCCCTTTTCAAACCGTCCAGGACACATTACTTGTGTTTACACAGAGTCTCCTGAGACAACTGCAGAGATGATATCACTAGTTAAAATGGATGGCTTAAGGCTCTTTAAATTAAAAATGACATTACCTCATCAGTTAAAATTGTGTGCCAGCTTTGTGTATATCAAGAAGAAAATAAAGCAGACATTGATGGAAGTAAGCATTAACATATGTGAATTATTGTATTAACTGCATTTCCTCACTGCATCTGACGTTTCCAGTAGTAGACACTTGGCCTGCTCACATCGCTGTTCCTTTTTAAAACTATGGAAATACACAGAGGAATTGCGTATTTTCTCAATACTTTGGGAGATGCTTTGCATGTTAAAAGACGGAGGAGGAGAAACAGAAGTGGAGGAGGAGGAGGATGAAGAACGCATTATGTTCAAAATCCTAACTAGCGTTTTACATTCAACTGGGGGCAGCTGAACAGAACCATCGCTGTATTCATTCAAGCCTCAGAAGCTGGCATTTATGGAACAATTCCTTTTATCTCCACTGTGTCTTTGACAAGACAGGTCTGCATGTTTTGCCCCATGCTTTCATATAATTTAGTTGTGATGTGAAATGGTGACTGTGTTTGGGCTGGCTACTGTGCATCTAGCGGTGCCATATAGTCTTTTATTCGGATCCTGACATGTTCTGAATACTAACTAGCCAAATCCATATGCATCCTGCCCTCTAGCCATACATAAGCAAGACGGGCCAGGCATTTCTGCGGAACTGAGGATTTTCCAGAGAGAAGACCTTCCTCCCAGGTATTCCAGAACTCAGCTAATGGAATGCCAGGGAATTGCAATAGGGAAAGAAGTTAATATTTTCATTCACATCTCCTCCAACAGTAAATACTAAGCTCTCCTTTTGGCAAGAGTGAAAGCTATTCTTAAAGGGGGGAAAGGGATTAGAATCCTTTCCCAGCAAAAGATAAGTCATAGCATCATTAAGTGCCAATTTTAGGAGACTGAATCATTAAGGGGAACAAGCTGGGATACTACTATCATTTCAGTACTTTCCTTCCCAGGCGCATCCAACAGGACCCCAAAGAATATCACAAATAGCAAATCTAGTAAATATTCAGAAAGATGTATGTGCACAAGTTGCAAAGGGTAGCGATGCCAAAGAAGTTAAGAAAGCAGCTTGCAACTCCCTCTGGAGTTGATACCAGTTCTACTCCATAAGCTTCTCACTGGCAAACCTGGTGCCAGAAATGCAGCTGGTGTGCCAGAATCCCTCTCCAGAGACTAAATGTGTCACCACAGCAACACACCCAGTCTGCATTGGCTTGAGGCCCAGGATACTGAGTTTGCAAATTTCAGTCCCCCAGCCGACTGCACATTGCTCTGTTACTGCTGCCAGTGTGGCAAACACTGCATTTCTTGGAATGTCAAGAGTCCCCTAAGAGCCATGGTGGAGATATGCAAAGGTGAAGACCAAAGGCACTTGTCTGACTCTTATTCTGAACCAACGTGCACCAGCTGTTAGAGAAGAACTGGAAAATGTATCTAAAGAAGTGATTTCATGAAAGCTAGAGGAGGGGTCAGAAAGGCGACTTCTTTGTTTGGAGTCCTGTGGCTTGAAGGCCACCACCCTGTTCTGTAGAAAGAATGTTCCAGGTGACAAGGAAGCTGCGTCTGGATCCAGATTGTAGCACTCCGCTATGTGTGTGTGCGTGGGGCAGAGGGATGGGGGGAGGACAGGCTGGAGCCAGGTGGCTTTTTTTTTTTCTTTTTTTCTTTCTTTCTTACAGCATAAATATATGTCCCACCTAAGCAAAGACCCTGCCCTATACCCCACCCCCAGCACTTACCATCTCAAGCATTTATACCACTTACTATCTCAAATTCAAATACAATGTGAATTTAAAAATATATTTATAATTAGGAGAAAACCAGTCTCTTCTATCTTTAGGTATATTTCCACTCCTTTTTTTAAATTGCCTGCCCCCAAGCTTTTCCTTTCTATACTAATAGCAGAAAAGAGTCTATACATCCACTGGAAAGCGAAGCAAAGATCCCACCAGTCATCTGTCAACTCATTGTACTGTGGTGGCTTGTATACTGCTTTGACGCTGCAAGCTATGTGACCAGTATTTAACACACAAGCAGGGTTGCCCGTTTTTGACAGACTTCAGCGGAATTTCCAGATTAAGACAGACTAGGAAGAATGTCTGGAACACTGACTTTTGCTAATTAGCCAATGAGAACCTATGGATCACAATAGAACGTTGTCCAACTGTTTTACTTTGGGCATGTCATCAGGAGGGATCAATCACTAGAGGAAGAAATCATGTTTGATGAAGTAGAAGAATGGGAAGGGCAAAGCAGACCCTCTATAAAATGGATTGCACTTAAACATGGTGGCAACTGAGCTGACTCAGGACCGGGCAGTATCTTGTTCAGTTGTACCTAAGGACACCGTAACTAGGAGCTGAATTGTAGCCAATTAACAACTACAACACTGCAACGATGGCTACCTAAGCCGTTGGTAGTTAAAGGGCATTCTCGAACTGTTTTAATTTTAGCTTTGTGCGGGTCTTTTCACTTGTGCTCCTGGCTTTAGAATAGCTCTTTATTCTAAAGGGCCATCTCTTTTTATACCATAATATGTCTTGCTTACATATTCCTCCACCCACAGGCTATGTAAAGTATATGTGGGTGGTGAAAACGTTGTGAATCTTCTCTAGTAATCATGAATTAGGTTTCCCATAAGAGTGATAAAAGAATAAAGATTTCTTCTCAGAATTCTTGAAAGGATTACCCAGAGATGATTATTACTTTTTTTTTTTTTTTTTCTTTCACAAAGTGTGAATTATGGGTTGAGGAAAATGGCGAATTATGGGTTGAGGAAAATGGCCAAGTGGGGAGGTGGGGTGGCGAGAATTGATGGCAAAATAAGAAATGCATTCAGTCACTCCAGAGAGATTTCTGAGGCTGTATAGGTATGCTGTGCTGAATAGATGGATAGCATTCTTCACTTAAGTCAGGCTTTCTCTTCAGAGTCCAAATGACCCCTGACTCTCTCTGGTGGATCCCATTAATGGAAGGGAAGTTAATCCCCTGCAGGGTGTCGTCTGAAGCAGTGAGCTACTGTACCCACCTCTCAAGGCTCTGGACATTCTAGAATTATTAGGAAGGGGGACTTTAGGAGGTGGAGTCTTTTAATCTCCTTCCAAGAGGATCTCTTTCCACATGCATACATACATTTATAATGGAGAAATTTGATACCTGACATTGTAAACGACAGTGAGAAATTGTATTGGAGAGCGTAATTTTCACTGGTAAAAATGTGGAAGCTTGACTCTTTGGTTTATTTTGCACAAGGCATTAGAGATATTCCAACGAAACAACCTGCAAACGATTATTCAGCTACTCTGCAAGAATTATTTTATATATCCCCCACGAGAGAATGGATTCCCCCCTTCCCCCCCTCCCCCACCCCAGTGTATTAAAGCGATGGTTTGGAACTGGAAGTGTATAATGATGGTGGTAGGATGGGCCATATTCATCTACATCTGTGTTTCTGAACTTCACCCTTAAATATGGACTGTTTGCAATATTCTAACTACGATGCATGAAGAACCTTACAATGTTCATAACTTCTTATTTAGTAATATATTTTTAGAGATCTAGTTTATGCAAATAATGTGAAATCAAGTCAAAATCTGTGCATAAAGTACTGCCTG